GCTTTCAAAAGTATCATTACCTGCTCAGACAAATCGGTCTGATCTCGATAAGCCTTGACCAGCTCAGCTCGGAGGTCTTTTATTTCATTTTCTCTCTGCCCTAGGGAAAGTCTAAGAGAGTTCCTCTTGTCAGTAGCCCGTTGAAGGTCGGCCGTATATCGATGCAGCTCATTCTGGGACCAAGAACAATGTTCTCGATGAACTGCCGCTGCCTACAAAGAAACAAGAAGCGAAGTTAACAAAAAACGAACATAAAGATAGTACCGACAAAATAATTTTAAAAGCTCACCTAATTCAAAGCTTGCCGCAATCCGTGAAAAAGATCCGATTCATCACTAGCACCGACAAAGTCCTCAATGCCAGTAAACAGGTCACAAAAGGGATCTTCTTCATCGTGAGGCCTGTCTAGATCAAGGGCTCCCAGAGCTTGAGCTTCCCGAATCACCCCTGTGGAAAAAGCGGGAAAGGTAGGCAAATCCTCGATTGATGCTGCCCCAAATGAATCGCCTGGAGCGTCCTCCTCGGTTCGAAGGGGTTCGAGGGCCTCTACGGTCATATCCTCAGCCGGTTGACTCCAATGAGATGCGTCTTCGATATCCGATAGTTCGGGGACTCTACCTGAATCCTTCTCCGGTATACCTTCATTTCGAGGAAGAGCCTCATGGAGCATCATCGATCCAGCCGGCAATGCATCGGTGGTTCTCTTCGTTTGGACCGCCAGCGCGGACTCATCGTTCTCTTCTTCTACTTCTTCATCTTCATCCCTTAGATGCAGAATGGATTCCACGGTCAAAGGGATGACATTCTTGTTCGGCTCACGAGTCGTCCTCTTCTTCGGTTTTGGATCTTCGGGAACCGAGGCTCTTTTCCTTTTATTTTCCTTCACCGGCTTTGGGACAGAGGCCGAAATTTCCTCCTCATTGGACAAGGGCCTCAAAACCGCGTCTTTACCCAAACCTGCATGTGGAAAATCTTAATAAAATATTTTGAAAACCACCTCGTTCGGATCATCAAAGAGTCCGAGAAATGAGCTTACCATGATTTTTGGCCTCCCACCGACCCTTTGACAAATCACGCCATGAGCGCTCGGCATACGTGGAGGTCGAAACAAGGGCTCGTACCTAGTTCTTGAGATCGAGGATTGCTCCGGGCATCCAGGGAACCGCTACATCAAGAAGAAGAGGGAGTGTCGATGAGAGAATAAATGAAAGAAGAAAATAGAAGTAACACCAAGATCACACTTACGTTTCATATTCCACTCCTCGGGAAAGGGTATCTTTTCAGTCGGGATCAGGTCCGAAGTCCTGACTCGAACGAACCTGCCCATCCAACCCCGGTCCCTGTCCTCATCAATACTCGAGAACGGAGCCTTGGTATCCCTATGCTGGAGTTTTATTAACCCCCTCAAAAAAATCGAGGACGGTACAATCGGATAAGATGATCGAGGGTGAATGGCATCCCCTCGATCTTGCTCACAAAATATCGAATTAGGATAACGATCCGCCACAAAGAAGGATGGATCTGGCCTAGGGTTACTTGATATTGTCGACAGAAGTCAATAATAATAGAATCAAAGGGACCCAAAGTGAAAGGGTAAGTATACACATTCAAAAACAAGCTTTCACATAAGAAGTGATATCTTCGTCGGGCGTAGGAATTATTATTTCTTTCTCACCCCAATTGCAATCTTTCTTTAGCTGTTCGAGGTGCTTTTCGGTTATCGAACACATGTACCTCAATACAGGCTCACACCGGCCAGGGACCGATGAACCTTTATCGACCTTAAAATCTGAAGTAAGGACACACGCCCTAGGAACACACTCCTCAGGCCGTGGTTCTGCCGGTGTCTCATCGGCAGCACACTGTGAAGATGAAGCTTTCTCTTTCTGAGGAATGGTTTGCGATATTTTCGCCATTTTAGAATTCAAAGGTGGGGGGTAGGAAAAAGGGACAAAGATTTGGTAGAATTGAAGAGGGATTTTTGCGGAAAGAAATCACAGATTTACTGGTAAGATGGAGCGTACGAAGAAGAACTTGGTAAATTTGGAAGATAGAAGATGTAAAACTGGTAAAAGATAAAAGAAAGGGTTATTTATAGGTCCAAGCGATGGCGGCTCAATATCAACAGTGGCCGACCACTGCCTGACATGCGTTAAATGCCTTGAAAGACTAAACCGACGGGATAACTATCAGATGCATCATGGTCAAACCAGATGGAAACGACAGGATATAATCCGATCGAGCTGTTAAAAAATCATATCATTTCTCGCCACATTCTTTCTGAGAAACGAGGGGACTATCTGTATACAGTCGAAATAGGTTTCGGCCTTAGTATGTCCGATCGAGTTCAAATGATGATTTATCAAAGTGAGATCCCGAAGGTGGAGCAAATTATCCTCGAACTTAGGAAGGCTGATCCGTGTCAAGTTCAATATCATTACCAAGCTCGAATCAAAATCTACCATGCTGACAATCCAGAGACCAACCGACATTAACCTCGAATCAGTTCCGGGGCTCGAGCCAGGATCGGGCTCGAACCAAGATCATGAGTTCGAGCCGAAATCAAGCTCAAACCAAAATCGAGGGTTCTAAGCAAAATCTAGCTCACAGACAAAAGCCGTTGCAATCCCACTAGAGAGAATCTTGGCAGAAATTATGGAAAAGCTGACTTATCATGGGTCTCCCACTGAATGTTTATTTTATTATGCTTAGAGCCAAATTCCTCCACTATAAAAGGGTTTGGTTACTATTTCTGTAGGACAAGTTTTTCAGGCTTACATTGTAATAAAAGTGCTATATTCTTCTACAGTAAAGAATTATTCATTCAGATTTCTTACATTGATTCTATTTGTTGAATCCTAAGATTCTTTGTTCCTGACAACTTTACCTATTTCGGATTCTCTCTAATCTGTATTTATATTTCTATTGATCCTTACATTTTGTGTCAAGTTACGCCACATATCCTCTGAACTGCGTATAAATTCAACTCTATCCATTTTTCGGGTAAACATGGTTTTATGTATTATGTGTTATTACTTCTTTTTTTGTTTGTAAATATGGTATATTACTTAATTAAAATAAGAACAAATTCAGTATAAAAATATTTAGTTGATTTAAAAGTCCTAAATATTAGAAAAATTATTAAATAACTATGTCATAAATATTAGAAAAATAATCAAATGACTATTTTGTCTAGTATGAACTCTATTTTAAAAGGGTAAAAAAGGCGAACGACATTTCGCTAAGGGCCTTCGTACTTTTAATATATAACTAGTTTCTGGATACGTGCATTGCACGTCTATCCCATATCAATCATTATGTAGCTTGTAACCAAATAAATAATATAATAACTATTAACTGCATACAAGTTTCAAAATATTTTGAGTTAAAAACATAACTTATAGTATACAAAATATTATTTGTAGTTATATTTTTATTATTTTATTAAGTACGTAAATGTTATTGGTTATATCTAATTTAATAATTTATTATAAAGGATGCTCCTCATGATTATTTCTGTTGAAATCTAGTTGATCTTAACAACAACAATAACACAATATAATTCCACTAGTGGGGTCTGGGGAGGGTAGTGTGTACGCAGACCTTATCCCTACCCTGGGGTAGAGAGGCTGTTTCCGATAGACTCTCGGTTCCCTCCCTCCAAGAACTCCCCACCTTACTCTTGAGGTGACTCGAACTCACAACCTTTTGGTTGGAAGTGGAGGGTGCTCACCACTAGAGCAACCCACTCTAGTTGATCTTAAATTAAAAAAAAAAAAAAAAAAAAAAAAAAAAAAAAAAAAGACCAGCCAACTATTGCTAGAAAAATTGTTCATCTTCCTTCTTCCCAAATATCTTCCGTCCCAATTTATGTGCTCTTTTAATATAAAGTACACTGCAATATTTGAATGAGAAAGTAAAATGATGAAACATGTTCACACAATATTTTCAGTAATACATAAAGATTATTTACACTAAAAAGCAAATGGTCTTCTAGACTTCTTAAGCTCTACCAAGATGAATAAAAGATAGGCCATGAACATCTTCTTCAAGAGCGTGTTTCAGTTGCCCTAGTTTTGATAGATACTCATCTAACGTCGAGAAAGAACTACTAAAGACCTATAAATTTAGAAGAATCGCTGAGAATACTTGTTATCCTATAAAAAGTTATAAATTTTAAAGTTATTTTTCAAAGGTAAAATTAATTGTGATTGCCAAAGATGGATAGAAGAGATGACATGGTGAAGATAGCTAAGTAGAAAATTTTAAATTGTCCAAGCTATCATTTTGATAAATTCTCCAAATACACATACAATACTAAAGAGAAGGCAAATATGAAATAAAATAATAGCATTTGACTTTAACTCGTCTAAATCAAACTCCCTAATTGCAACATGTTAGTACTTAGCACCATGAATTTTGCTTTCCATAAAAGATCACAAAGTGCTTATGTGACTTTGGAGCACATCAATCTAAGTGCAAAAAAATCCAAACCAGCAAAAGGAAGAATTTCAAAATGTTAATGCCAAATTAATGGGAACGACTCCAACGAAAGAAGGCTATAAAGCCACAAGTTTATCTAAGCAATCATTGGCTTTTCCTATTCCTTTTTCACCCAGGTAACCTCTGCCCCTTCGTTCCCACTGTATTTCTTGTGTTTAAACTGAAATGAAACTATTAATTGCCACATTAATATTTCGTAATCTCCAACTGTAAATTCTTAACGGATACATTCTCAAACTTTGTACGTTGTACGTATTTTATTGTTGAATGAATTATTAATTACCATTAACATGATAAAGGATATTTATGATGAAATATTTTTACCTTTTTATACAATAGTTTAACTATAATAAGAAATTATTTATTTATTTACGGAGGGTATAAAAGTTCACTATTTTTTTATGAATATTTTAATAATTTAACTTTGACTTAGAGTTTTCCACTTATAATATAGTATTAAAATATAGTATATTGATAACACGCAGTAATACATTTCTTTCTCTCCTGTCCTGAGCCAATAGCTTTTCAATTCTGCGAAAATAGCAAAATTAGGGTTTTAATTCTAGTTCAAATTAGACGAAGCCCACGGTAAATTGCCAAGCCCTAATCCCTAATTTTTTCTCTAAATTGATTATTGCTTCAGGAGCATTTTCAATTGGAGAGCAGACGAGATTCGTGCTCCGCAGAATCATAATTTACCTATTGGATTTCTCTCCGCTTGATCGAGTAAGCTCGTCCTCATAGTTAAGAATTTGAATTCTCTGTATAATGATATTACTCTTTAAATTCTGGGATCAAGATGTTCGATTGATATCAAATGTGTGAAATTACGAAATTTTGAGTACAAATTGTAATGCATCAATTGATTGTTTTTGTGTTTATTTTTTTGTGTTAACTGAAGTTGGTTGTTTTAACTGGTAATTATAACAACAACAACAATAACAACATGCCCAGTATAATCCCATAAGATAGCGTGTACGCAGACTTTACCCCTAACTCGCGGAGGTAGAGAGGTTGTTTCCGAAGACCCTCAGCTCAAGGACAAAATGAAAAGGAGCAGTAGCAATAAGCAATAACGATATATAAACAATAGCGATATAGTGAAATAACTTAAACGAAAGAAATAACATGTAGGAATATAGCTCTACGAAAAAAAAAAGAAAAAGAAAAAAGACTACAAGACTAATACTACTGCCACTAGGATGACAAAGGAATACACCCAGCTACCTCTAACCTTCTACCATAATCCTTGACCCCCATACCCTCCTATCTAGGATCATCTCCTCAGTAAGCTGAAGTTTCGTTATGTCTTGCCTAATCACCTCACCCCAATACTTCTTAGGCCTACCTCTACCTCTCTTCATGCCCACCACAACCAATCTCTCACAACTCCTCAGGGGGCATCAACGGCTCTCCTCTTCACATGCCCGTACCATCTTAACCTCACTTCATGCATCTTGTCCTCCACAGGGGCCATTCCTGACCCCTGGTAAATGGAGTTCAAAATTTCATATACAAGTTTATTGAGCTTATAATGTTTTGTTATTACTTTCTCTGGGTGTTTATTGCTGCTGGTGTTGTTAATTTATGTTTTCTTTTACTGTAAGTTGAGTTTTGGTTCTTTTCTTTTTCATTTTTATTGTTCAGTCTTGTCATTGGCAATGGTGAGAGGTCGAAAAGTTTTTTTATGTTGCATTTTTGAAGTAACTGTTTGGAAAAAAACTAGTCTTTAGGCTGATTATACACTATTTATACGGAGATATTGTTCTTAGGGCTGTAGATAACATTGGACGTCATTATGCACTGTTTTTTGGGAGAATATCTTAATGTTGTATCATAGGACTAGTCTGAGTCCGTTTTATATTTCCTTATTATTTACTTCAATTTTCTTTCTGAACTCTGAAGTATCTGTGCAATGGTCCCATTAGAACACCCTATCCACTGGAGTGTAGAGGTAAAGAGATGGGATATGAATCGATCCCTCTGTCAGCCCATATACTAAGTTTTCTCTTCATTTGAGAAGATAAATGCTGTCTTTCTTTCTGGATTTAGTGTCGCTTTTGGCACCTTTTTTCTTTTATTCTTGGTATTCTGGTTTGATAAATAAGGTAGTTTTTCCAGAAAAAGATAGTGACAAGGTTTATGATCTCTATAACTACTTTCATTTTTACGCTGGTGGTATCATGGTGGCATTTCCAGTTCTCTTCTCCAGTGCCATCTTGTTTGCATACTACTTTGAGTACATTGACCTTTGCTGTGCTAGACAGTTCTGGACTTTGTCTTACCTACCGATACTTTCCAGGAAATAATGCTCTACTCATGTACTGGGTGCTAATTGATGGATTCAGATAGCAAGAACTTCGGAAGAGGTGAGAATGTTGCAGTGTTGTACTGCAGGCCGTTGACCTTTTGTGTCTCTTATTGCATCCCTAGGTTTTGAATTGTGATTTAAGGTGAACCATGAATGTATTTTTTTGATTAATATTCTCCCTCAAGCTCCTGTTGGCCGATTAATTTGCTGTAGGGTTTGTAGTCTTATTGCTCTTACTTACTTCAAGGAAGTAAAATTGTTGTTTTACTGGCAATGCTGACTTCTTCTGCTTACAGTGATACAATTGCTTTCATCTATTCAGTCATAAAGGTTGTGCTGCTTCTGTATCTTTGCTCTCTACATGTGAAGTAGTTATTTGTTGGAGAATGATTTTTGCAAGTGTGTTCCAGGCCAGAAAGCAATATGGCCATACGCGTTTTCCCGCAGATTTGGATTGTGTTAGTTGTTAGAATAATGCTCTGGGACTCTGACTTTACGGCGAAGTAGTCATTTCAAATTTGAGGTTCTTAAGAATTTATAGACTGTGGAAGAGTTTATACCTAAGCTTGTGAGGCAAAGCCTAAAAAAAGAGAAATACTCAGCATTAGTTGAATTTTTACATATTCAAGGTGTCAAATGAACATAATCTAGATAGCAGAGGAATTTATAGTATCGCCTACAGAGTGTAGTGGCAGGCTTTACTGTTGTATTACCAGAGACTGCAGATTGCATTTCAACCATTGTGGTATTTTCTTGTTGCATATTCCTTCAAAGATATAGTTGGTTTCTAAAATTCCTTAGACTAATCTCTTGATATTTTGTTGAAGATTAAAAGAAACTGTCAAATTTCAGGCACTTGATCTTCTTTTTAGAATGTATTTGTGTTTAAGAATTATATCTATAGCTTATAACTGTTGTTGGTTTGGTCCAAATATATTTTTAGGGCCAAGAGAACTTACAGGTGCTCGTGACCTTATTAGTCATTTCAAGTTGTTGCCTCATTATGAGTTCTTCTGCAAGAGGTCACTTCCATTATCAATTTCAGATACACATTATCTTCACAATGTGGTTGGAGATAGAGAAATTAGGAAAGGGGAGGGGATGCAGTTGGATCAGCTCACACAGGACACTTCATTTTCTAGAGAGATAAAATCATGCATCCGGCCCTTTGACTTAGATGTCCTTAGAGAAGCCTTCCAACTACGTGAAACGGCTCCAGTCGATTTGTCTCCTGTAAGATATCTGCTTTTGAACTTTAGTGATTTAACTCCATCTATTAAGCTTCTTCTACGCAACCCTCTTATTCCTTTACCCTATTCCAAAAAACAAAAAAAGAAAAGAAAAAGCAACCCTCTTATTCCTTCACGATTTCTGAAGTTGGAGGTTTGAACTGGGTTTCCCTCAAATTTTTCGCTGAAATGTTAGTGTTTTGCCTATTACACTAGTGGCTGATCAATAGGTCTTTCATGGTGTTTGATAGTCTGAGAAAGGCATCCCTACTATAGCTGGAAAATCTAAAAGTGAGATGAAAGACAAGGAGAAGAAGCATAAAAAGCACAAGGATAAAGACAAGGAGAAGGACAAAGAGCACAAGAAGCACAAACATCGTCATAAAGATCGGAGTAAAGAGAAAAAGAAAGATAAAAGTGGCCACCATGACCCTGGTGCTGAGCATTCGAAGAAACACGAGAAGGTCTGCTGCTATCTAACCTCTAATGATTTGGCTCAAAAATGATGATTCTCATGGAACGCTGTTACTGTGAACATTTTCTTGGTTTTATATCCAGAAGTTTAGAAGACCAGTTCAAAGTAGAGCCAACATTTTCTTAACTGAATAGAATCTCTTAAAGCTGACGGAACTAGGATTCTGATCCATTGGCACAAGTTTGATCCATTCCTTTACTGTAAAATAGCCTCAAGTTCGAATTATCTGCAATCTAGTTAATGATATGTGGACTTCGTAATTTTTCTGTGTGAGAATTTGATTCTACTTTTTTTTTGAAGTTCTTGCCCTACTGGTGCTTAGCTATTGAGTTGCATTGTAAAAACCACCGTTGCTGGCTTCAACTCTTATTTGCAACATTTTGGAATTTGGCAATCAAAAAGTCACTCTTCAGTCTTCACAGGATTAAAAGGGATTAAAAAAAACTCACTGATTTTGATCTTTTTTATTATAATGATTTCAGAAAAGGAAGCATGACGAGGAGGATCTTAACGGTGTCCACAAACACAAGAAAAGCAAGGTAAACTCAAAAATATTGAATTATATTATATTTTTTCTTTACTATATTTGCAACCTCGTTTATTAAAAAAAAGTATATCTGAAAACCTTAAAATGTGATCTAAACTCATTGCATGTGCGATCTGATCCCTACACATACATTCACCTTTTACTAAAAGCTCCATCATCTTACATCCTGAAATGTTGCAGCACAAGAGCTCAAAGATTGATGAGATTGGTGCAATAAAGGTAGCCGTCTGAAATGTGCATGTGGTTCTATAATTTATGTTGTCCTCAGATTTCACAGTTGAAAATTTGGATGGTTCCTTTACTTACAATTGTGAAATATCAGAAGTTCATGTCCTGACATATCCCATTAATTGAAGAACTTTATGGTATGAGCTAGTGTTGCCATTTGTATCTTCATTTGAGTGAGGCTGTTCCGTGGAAGTCATGGCTGGTCGGATGAGTCGAACATTTCTGCCATTCATGAGTTCAGCCGGACAGTGTTGGTTTATTTACTTCAAGCTTTATTTTCCTTTTCTGAAAAGTCCACCTTGGGAAAAGAAGGCAGTGATAAAGGAGCAAGTGAGCAACATCTGCATGGCTAACAGATACTCCTGCCTCTTTTGGATATCAAATCAAGTTTTCTTCTCATCGAAGCGAAAGTGGAACCTATCTTATACTCCCTCTGCTTCTTGTTATTTGTTGTTTAATTTTGTGACACACCTATTGAGAAAACCATTATATAGCATTTATCATAAGTGGTATTTCACTAAAGCACCCTAATCTCTTCCTTAAATGAGTAATTAGTGACTATATGTCTTCTTGTAGTAGTAATGGTGGAATTGAAAATGGACTGGAAGCAGTAGCAATGACTGTATGTCTTCTTGGCTTTCTAAAATTACAAATATTTTGGGACAATTCC